AAACTGTGTGTAATATACGTTACTATTGTATAACGATAAAATCTAAACGTAACATCAATCACCAGCAATGCATCAAAATACTCTGAGCTCAAAGGAAACATTCTATTGCCGTAAAAATTTGAAGGCGTCTATATAAAAGCGATGAATACGGATCACAGAACTTCACGACGCTGTAACCAAGCCGCGGTCTAAACTTTGCGAGCGTTAACAAGACGACGGCAGTGATGGGATAGTTTCGCGACTTTACGTTACGTAAACTTATTCTGGGTTTTCTTTCGGGGAGGTCGGTAAATTCGAGCGCCTAATTATAGAGGCGCCAGAGAGAACGCCTTTAACGCCTCCACCGCCCGCCTGCTTCTTCCCACGAGGAACTCCGGCAGTGGTGTAAAGGGTGTTGGAGGAGGCACTTGGCTCACTACGAACTAAGAAGTTTCAATTTCCGAACATAGTCGCGGCACGACGGTGTTATTAATGCAATTAAGCAGGATTTCCTTCACACGATACGGCCTTGTTGACAACGCCGATAGAAAGTAATCACGAGCTTTACCATGTCTTAACCCACTATCAGACCAACAGTGGTGACATGTCACAATATTCGAAGCCAGCGAGTTTAAAGAAACTTTAACTTTCGAAATCTTGTTACATTTTAGTGCAATTGATACTTGCAACTCAATTAATATTTTTATCGTAAAAAATGTACAAAATAATTTGTACTGTAAATTGCTTTGCATCAAATTGTCGAATGTTTCACATGACAGCAATTTGAAAAAAATACTGAAGATACTAATTTTGTAAATATTTTGGTAAGAGGTTTGCAAGCATACTTATTTCTCATCGTGTATTAAAAACCAAAAGCAATAAATTAAAAAGAATCTTTTAAATATTTTTTATAATCTAAAAAACCGACATTTAAGTGTTTAAACATTTTTCAAATAAACTACAATTTCTAATGTTTTGTTTCATTAATTAAGTAAAGATAAATGTAACATTTACGATAATAAAGATACTACATAAAAAAACACGCCTCGCAGTTTCTTTGAAAATAGATTAATTTCAGCGCAAAGTTGCAATAATGTATGTTGCAATTATTGATGTTATTGAAACATTAGTTATATCATATGCTCGGCCACACGTATAATGCAGGTAACTTTCCTTTGCGTCAATGATCATAGCTTAAATGTAGCCCCGTCATTCTCCATATGCGCTCATCTGTACCGTGCCTCAGGCTATTGCAATTTCGCTGTCATCTACTACTATCATTGCATCTGTCTTACTTTATAGTGTTAAATAGAGACATATCAGAAAGCATTTTTTGTACGCAATAGCACAATAGCGTATTGATTGTCAACACAATTTAGCATTATAAAAATATAATATATAGTTAAAAAAAAAAAGAAATTATTATATATAAGTACATAAAGTTATATAATAAATTTTCAATAAGTTAACCTTATTGATGTTCATAAATTAATAAATATGTAAATTGTTTTTTATTCGTTAAAAAAATTTCTGTCGTTAATTTTTGAATGCTAATTAGTCTGATTTATCAAAAGTCCATTAAGAATGTTTATATTTTTTACTAAGACTGTATAAAATGTTTTAATTGCTCTGTTTATAATTTTATGGTTACATAATTACATAATAGATTAGGAAAAAATGCAAATATATGTACAAATGAGTCAAATCTGTTTATATAATATTAAATATAATTAAATTTTTTTCATAATATCTGCAGCAGTCAGAAGAATATAATAGTTGTATACTTAATACTTCATAATTATAATAGATAACGGAAATGGAAAAACAAATAACCTTTGATAAATACTACTTTGTATAAATCAAATATTAAACATACTTAAATGGAGAATTAATTGCTGTAATTACATTACATAAACGTTTTTGTATAACGTATAGTATGGTATATGCATAGATATTTCATTTGTTTTCTTTTTTGTTAAATGTATAATTATCTTACCTCAGTATAAAATTGTGGTATGTATGTCAAAGTATACGCGATGCTTATAAGGACCTTGGTTCTTGGCAGAAGCATGTATTTTATTTGCTAAGCAATGACAGATAATTTTTTCATTCGAAGTAAGTAAAACTCGAGTTTTCCTAAATGTTTCGTAAAAGCGGAATGAAAGACGTTGACATGTTGGAGGACGAAGGCGACGCCACTTGTTTTGGCGTCGTTTCGCTAATGCCGTCGAGCCCGTACTCACTTCTTCCAGTTCGTGCTCCGTCTACAAAGTGGGAAAATAGCAGCTTTGACGGGGCTCTTTCAAGCCGAGCTCACCCAATGTGAACCTCTTCTCGATTCGCGCCGCAAACGCAAGAACTTCCGCGGACGACAATTCGGTCTTCCACTCCGCCGTGTCGTTTCTCACTATCGAAAGAAGGTGCCGAGCAGAGCGAGCTACGCGCAGACAATACCGGGTGGCGAACGTGGCTAGCTACCGCGACTTTGGCACAAGCATCACGTGCTGCGATAAAGCAATGTGCCCGGTAGAGACGCAAGGTCGGTCGACCTACAATGTAATGGGGAAGTCTTTTTCGGAAGACTCAACACGTCGAATCGCATCTCGCGGATTTAACCTTTCTGGTACGTGTGACGACTATAGCCTGCGGGCGCGTTAAGTGCTCGTTGTAACATGTTCATCGACTATAGTTGGAAAGTGTTCACCGCGAAAATCCAATATGCTACGTTAAGTTGCCATAAGCTCTTATTTTTGTATAGCAAAATTTGATAATCGATTTGGAATCAATTTTATTTTTAACAAAAAATATTGAAACGTTAAAAATCTCATAATTTCTCAACGTAATTAATTAAAAATAAATTAAATTTGGAGCTACTGTAAGTAAAGTTTAAGATAATAAAATCTTATAAAATATATTTATAAAGAAAAAAATTTAAATGGCTCAATGAGGTATGCAATACCAAATATTGAAAATTGCGAATATTGAAAATGCTTAGAAATGCCGGCTTTAAGAAAATTAAAAAAAATCTTATGAATAAAAAAAGCTCATGGATGTAACTGTTCGCCATTCTTATATACGTGACAAACATAGTCTGTAGGAGAATATAGCGCTCATTGTAACACGTGTATCGTCTATAGTCGACGATCGAGAGATGTTTTCTATGAAACGCTGAGTCTATGATTATAGCCGAACCGTTTACTGAATAATTTGTTATAGCTTCTAAGTGATGAGCAACAACGTAACAAAAAGTTTGCATTTTCTTTACATTCTTTAAATTTTAAAAATTTTGTTTTTAAAATTATGTAATGCAATATAATGTATAAACAAAATAATAATCTCTATTAATTAACTCTTGCAATTCGTTTGAACAGCAGCAGTCGATATTATAAAAGTAATTAATTAATTACATAAAATACTGGGAAAAATGGAAATAACATTTCTATAGCGTAACAAAAACTGTTTTGTAATAAACTACTATAACAAAACTAAACTTAAAAATAAGCGACGACTTCAAAGTAGAAATCTCGTTTAGTTTTAAATAAATTATACTGTAAACTAAATTTGTAAGACAGAATAAGAATCTTTACAAGTTTACTAGTTATAATTATTAAAATTTAATTAATTCTATATTCTTTAATAATTCTGAAAAGGCTGAATTAGAAAAAGATAAAGAAGCAATTAAATCTCGGTTATCTTTAACTAATATTTATGGGAACGCTTGGTAGAGCTAGATTACTGAAATGTAAATTATGCCGATTTCGAAACAAACGGCTCATAGATGTACAACCATCGCGGTGTTGCGTGCTCGATTCATGAATGCATCACATTCATAATTCTAACATTGTCGATGTGTAACGCGCGTGACGGAGTCTAATACAGCGTATAACGAGGCGGGTGATCCAACGACGTAATCGATACGACTTCGTCTAACAACTAGCGCGTAGCGTCGAGCGCTCGTGACAGTAGCAACTAAAGAAGGCCAATAGCGACTGCTGTGCGAACAATTACTCGGCATTCATTATTAATAGATATTATGTAAAAGAACAAAAGAATGTGCATAACGTTCCGACAGAATGGAGCCTTCGCAAATGTAATGACTTGACGACGAAATAAAAATAACGAGAACTAAACGTGTCACATGCTTCATAAGCTCAAGGATGTCGTAAGCTAATAATCGATAAAATCGGTTTGCCAAATAATCGTTCCGTTGAACGTAAATTTCCATATTTCGACGACGATCGACACTTGTGCGAAAAGGCAAACCCAGCTGTCGACATTCAAGGAAAACTTTCATTCCGCAAATGATCCGCAATTTCCTATTAGCCGAGAATTCTCGTTAAGTGTTTCCTCTTTTACTATGTTGAACTTTTGCACGACCTTTTTTACGGCGTGACGTAAAGCGCGTCACCGGTGTCACGCGGCTTTCGTGATTTTTCTGCACGCAAAGTGCGATATGATCGATGCATTTTCATGAATGAAAAGGTGCACGTTTGGTAAATGTCACTCAAACTGACGTCAAATAACTTTTATGAAAGAAAGCAGTAATTTGCTTGCTAAAAATAAATCTAACTGGTTAAAACTGGAGCAGTTATAGCGGTCAATGTGTTTCGATTTCGTGCTTTTAACTCCTAACACTCTTAGAAAATGGATCACAATGATTCACAGTGATGCAGATTTGAAAATTTATGTGAAATGGAGCAAATATACGGTATGCCACTTTGAAGTCACATTAGGGCATAGTGCGAGTTAAACGCTGTTAAATGTGTCACATGTCGCGTACGAAACTGTTGGACGAAACGTAGGGAATGCGCGATGTAAAAGCCGTGTCACGCATTAACAGGAACGGTATGGAACGTGGGAGCCCAGACACGCCGAGTAATTCGAAAACGCTTCTATCGATGCATATTTAGCGGAACAGCTGTCCGCAGCTATGCTTATCGAATCACCTATCGAACGACTTCAACCAACGTTAACGTGTCACAAAAACAATATGTGAATAGAATCGCGAATAGTTTACCTACCCAATTGTCATAATCCAAAGCTGTTTTTCACTTGGTAATCAACGAGCCTTTCCCGAGTACCGCCGCTTCCCGAATTTCTCTGCAAATGTATACGGCTCTCACTTGGACGACGTATCAACGGTACAGCGGCATGTTACAAATCATCATGTGATTACGTTTAGATGGGAATTCCAGCTGCTCCAAATCCTCCACGATGATTATCTTGCGGATCAATCGATACGTTACTCGATTACCACCGGGATTATTGGAGCATCTTCGATGTCCTTCGCGGGAGGATGATTCCCGCAAACAAGATGATACCGTGACACGAGTCAATAGGTACTTTACCAATCCTTCAATAATCCTTTCATCGATCGAAAGGGAGTTAATACGAAGCAAATTGAATTACCGGAACACTCGAACAGTCGTGCTCTCCTTTAGACTCCGTTTTCCGATGATCCGTATGATCAGACGGGTATCACAGCACAAGTCAGTGAGTACTTGGCGTATCCCACGGAAATCCTTCTATCTATCACGAGTCGATCGAAACACTCGGACAGTCATTCTTTCCAGCAAAGACTGTATTGCGACACAAGTCAATGAGTACTTGGGGAATTCTCGGGTAATCCTCGCCGCCACGCGCGCGGATCTCTGATCTCGAAGAGATTCCGTCGAGAGCACTTGTTCGAGGGGAATAACGCGAAGCAGGGGAGCACACTTGCATGAACGCACGAGGGACCACCCTTCGCGATCACGTCCGTCGACGCGAACAGGTGGGCACACGCTCGACAAGTCACGCCGCGCGCGGAACACGCGAGTCTCGCGAGCTCCGTGATATCAACGTAGAATAGAATACGCACACGTCGTCGCGACGGCTTGACGTCGACTGAGGTGGTGCGAATACGGCAACTCGCGCCTGTCCGCCCCTGCTTTGCCGCCGCC